GAATGGACAGAAGAGGTTTCTGCAGAAGACCGGTCACATGTCACAGCAAAATAAAGATATGAAAAGTATTTTCTCATTAAACTTTGCAATAACTCGGAAATGGTGCACATGTTGCATATTAAGCCTTTTAACTTGCTTTTATATGTAAATGACTGTAGTTTCTGTGCCAGCACCAAATAGGTTGACAACAGAAATCAGCAGGTTGTCTTTGTGATAGTGATAATTCATATTTCCAGATGCCATACAAGTAGAGAACAGGAAGAAATTGTTCTCTATAATATGAATACTTGGGATGGAAATGTAGTTCATCCAATTTAGGTCTTGGCAATCATATGTGCAGATTTTTTTCTGAAAAATTGTTTCAATCCAAAAAATGTAAACAGAATAGAGTCAGAACTTAATAAATCAGGTGATGACCTCAAGTTGAATCTTTCAAACAAGAAAAGAATCCATCAAAACTCTGCACAACTGTGGATCAAGGGTGTCCTGCAAACTCTTGGTCAATGCTGCCATCTGTCTCCTATTAGTGGGGGTGTTCTCCAGCCGTTCTTTGCTGGCTTTAACCCAACTGAACAGCATTGGAAAGTAATTGTACAACTGTTGAGCATACGAAAAAAATACATTCAACACAAATTATCAGGTTATCAGACTTGCATTACTTGCATTTTTGATTACAGAAGACATTTGTATGACTAGACATGACCTCATTGCTAAACTAATACTCCTAAGTATGATAAAGTTGCCAATCCTGAGATATCATTTTATTATTAGTTTTGGATTTAAGGAAAAGGAAAGTGAAATCATGTTGACGGGTATCAATTATATGGTGATAGGGTTATGATTCTGCAAATATTTTGTGATGGCTAAATACTAGCGACCGACCAGTTGCTCTAACACCTGTTAAAGTGTTTCAAGAAGCTGGTTTCACACCACATCATGTCCTGCCTGCCACCCACACTCGGCCCACTCAGATGCAAAGTTAATAGATCAGCTGAAGGTGCCATTGTTACAATACTCCACACCACCAAAACAATAAGAAAACCTTGAAAAAACCTCCAAAAGGTTATAAGCATCAGGAACTACAGCAGGAACTATGAAGAGGAGGAAAAGAAAAGGAGAAAGACAGTAAAAAGCAGGCACAAATGAAAAGACAAGTTAGTCTTTAATCTAATTAGAAACATGTAAAGTATGTATTTTACTCTGTAATTCGGTCCACATGAAAGTCAAGATTTTCATCCCTAAAATAACCACTGCAAACTTATTACAATGTTACCATCACTAACTGCCAAGTGACATCTGTGCTGTGGACAGGATGCATCTTTTTTTTTTAAAAAAATTAGGAACTAATTTCAAACCATCACGTTTTAATGTTGTCGATAGAGGAAAAGAATCCAAAACACATCCAGAGGAATCAAAAATATATGCCAAATGGAGTCAGGAAATAAGTTGCCAGAAAGCACTAGAATATCCTCAGGGACACACAGCAACAAACTTGCTGTGTGTAAAAAGACTTGACAAGGTGTCCTGAAACTTTTCGACGTGTCCCTGCTGCAACACACCTGAATAACACGAGTAGGTCATTAGTAAGACTCAATAGAACTTGACTGCATGCTGAGGTGGTAATTCACCCATTTGATTCATGTTACAGCAGATCATGAGTTAATGAACATGGTGCAATAAAAGTACTTTTAGAAGTACATTTTTCAACGAGTCTTTACCTCAATTTAACTTACTTGAGTAGGGTTAGGGGTTGCTGCCTCAGCATGCAGCCATGTGAAGTTCAAAATGGCCAAGGGGAAACCCCCTCAGTCATTGTAGGGCATTTCCCATCCATCACTAAGTGCTTCTCGACCATCAGCACACCTATCCCAGTGGGACTGAAGACAAAACTTGTTAAATTCTCCTCAGCGTATTGGACCTTTGTTTTCCAGGCCCTCCTGTCAGTAACAGCATGTTTACACGGATACCTGCAGAAGGAGAATTTTGATCTTGTCCAAGCAGTGACACACTTGAGGAAAAACAGTGATGCCACTGTGTCAGATCTTCATTCCAAAATAAAGGGCTTATGTGGGGCCTAGCAGATAGCACCACCAGAGCCACTTTATAGCCTGAGGCAGAAGACAAAGCTAATGGATCATTTTTTGTTGAGTCAACTTGTGGGGCAGATAGTGAGGTTAGTGGTTCTTCTGAATCAGAGGATTTCAGAAGGAAAAACACACTTGAGCTGATTAAACTCAGTTACAGTTGTGGAATGATTATTCTCCCTGTCTCAGAGAGTCTGGACTCCCATTGGAATTTTCTAAGTATGCAAGTACAAACTTACCAACCATAGAAATTATTGTTGTGAGTCTTTCCCCACATTAAGCTAATACAAAACTACTAATCTTAGGGCTCCCCAAACCTCACTTTAACCCGTGACCTTTTTGTTTGTTTAGATGTGGAGGAAGTTTGTAAATTTGTTTAGTTACATTTCAAAGCCTGTACTTTTTCCACCTGAATCAGTACTTCAGATTTTGACTGGGTATTTTTTACACAAGTGTCTCTACTTCTATTTGCATAAAGAATGTCTGTACTTTCGCCGCCTCTGCATGAATGCAACACAGAAACACTTTTACACAAAGAAGGTACTGCGTTCACCTAAAGTGGTCATGAAACTTTCTAATAATAGGTCACAGAGTGCCACCTGGTGGCATAACACAGCTAATGCAACAACCAACTGCAGACAAAGTAGAACAGTATTA